GGGAAGGCCCCACCTGGCCCCCCCGGGCCCGGCCCTGCGCAGCAGAGGGGGAGACGCGGCTGCTCGGCGGGCAGCCTGGGGCCAGCGGCATGGGGTCCCTGCGGAGCGGCCCGACCTTCACCAATGCGCTGCAGCTTTGTGCCCCGAGAGGTGGGAGCCTCCCCACGCCCTGCCCCGCCGCCCGTCGCTCCCTCTGCAGGGCGAGGAGCTCGGGCGAGAGGAGGCGGGTCCGCGAGGCCAGCGCCGCCGTCCAAGACCACCAGCCCTGGCTCTGGGGAGCCGACCCTCCTGGCCGCAGGCCCCGGGGGGACCCGGTGCCCACCTCTCCCAGGACGGCCGGAGCTCAGGCTGGGTGCGGTGGGGTGCACGAGGACGAGGGGCCGCAGGGCGCGAGGCGGGGGTCAGCGGCGTGGGAGAGAGGGGACCGTGGGCTCTGTGTGCGGACGATGTGGGGGGCTCTCCAGAGAGAGGAGAGCCTCTGGCCAGCGGAAGGGCATGCGCCAAGGGGGGTAGCTAAAGAGGTGAGGGGGTGGGGGTCACTGTGGAAGGTGCACCCGGGCTGAAGGAAGTGGGGGACCACGGCCCCCACGGGCAGGGCCAAGGGCAGCCTCCACCACGGCTGATGGGGCGTCCAGGCGGGCGTTCCCACCTCCCCCAGCCTCGGCTCAGACAGTCCTCCCCGGGGGGCAGTGCTGACCCCCTGGCACACCCCTCAGGCCCCCCCACTGCGCGGTCACTGTCTGCAGCGCCGCGGGGCAGGCGGCCTCCCAGGGCCAGTGCACGTGCCTGCTCATCCCCAGGCCCCTCGCGGGCCCCCCGGTGCCTCCCGCAGGAGGGGGCCCTGCACAGCCTGGCCGGGCGGGCGAGGCAGGGACAGCGCGGGCACCGGCCTCCTCTCCCCTGCACGGGGCGGTGAGCGGGCCAGACCCCCACTTGGGGAGGCGCCGGCTGGTGGGGCGCGGGGGGCGGGGCCAGGCAGAGGGGCGGGCCTGCCCCCCCCCGCTCCCCCCCCGCCGGCTCCCCCCGGCTCCCCCCCGCCAGGGCAGATCCCCAGGCAGAGGAGCGTCCGCCCTGCCCGGAGCCGCCTGCAGTGGACGCCGGGGCGGTCCTGGCTCGCGGGCGCCGGCAGGGGCGGGTCCGGCCCGGGCTGTTCCCGGAGTTGGGCCCCCGCCCCCCCCCCCCAGCGCGAGGGGCTGCGGCGGGCCCGGCGGATCCCGGAGCCCGGCGCGGCAGGTTCTCGGGGCGCCGCGGGCCGACACCCCCTCTAGTGGCCGCCGGCGCCCTGCGCGCGCGGTCCCGGGAGCCCGCGGAGGGGCCGCGGGGGGCTCGGCCTCAGGGTCCTTCTCCCCCCACCCCGCGAGCCCGGCCCGCTGGACGCGCCCGACGCCCTTGGCCCGGGGCGGGGGGCGCCCAGCGCGGGGTGCGACCCCCTCGCTCGGGCCGCGGGGCGCCCTGGGGGCCGCCGGGCTGGGGACAGGGTGGGGGGCGCGCGGCGGCGGGCGGACGCCTGGGGGCGGCCCCGAGGCGGGGGGGGGGGGGGGGCGCGGAGGGGGCCCGGGCGGGGTTTGGGGGCCCGGGCGGGGCAGGCGGCCTCCGTGCGCTCCCGCCTGCGGGGCTCCAGGCGCCCCGGTTCCGCTCGGCTGAGGCCCTGGGTCTCGGGGCCCCGGGCGGCGGTGGCGGGAGGGGCCAGGGCCACTCGCCGCGCTGCGCCCCCACCTCGGGCCTTGCGGGCCGCCCGCGTCGCAGAGCGAGGCCTGGGGGTGGGCGCTGCCCGGGCCGCACCCCTGCGCGGGGCGGCCTCGCCGAGGCCCCTGCGCCCCCCGCGCGTCCTGCAGGGCGCAGGGCGGTCCCGGCTGGCGGCCCCCGCTGGCGCGGGTCCTGGTGGGCACGAGGGTCGCCTGTGCGCAAGCAGGTGCCCTCCCCGAGGTGCCGTCCCCTCGCGCCCTGCGCCCTCGGGGCTCGCGCCCGGCTCCCGGGAGGGCGGTGCCCGGCGCGCTCGCTCGGGGTGGCTGGACCACCGTCCCGGCGGGCTGGTGCGGGGCGGGGCTCCTGCGCCCCCAGGCTGCGGGCGGGGGCTGCTCCTAGCAGGAGGGGGGAGGGGCTGGCCTGCCTCTGCTGGGGGGCGGGGGGCGGGGCGGGCGTGTGCGCCCCCGTGTGCAGCCCTGCCCCGCCTGCCTTGGCCTGCGCGAGCGAGCGCGACCTGAGCGGTGTGTTGCAGGGAGGAGGCAGAGGGTGAGGCGAGAGGTTTCCTGGGGGCCCTGGCGGTCGCCCACTCCTGCTGGGTGGGCAGCTCTCCGGCCCCTGGTGGGGGAAGGACGGCCTGCAGGGCCTGTCCTGGGGGCGCAGCCCCACCCCGCAGGGCTCCAAGTGCCCTGAGCTCTTGCTGAGCCAGGGTCCCTCCCAGTGGAGGCCTGGGGGGGCAGCGCTGGTTCCCGGCGTCTGGCGGATGTTGACCCCCATGGCGCCCTGCCCATTTGTGTCCATGAGCCCCCGTCTCAGCAGCTGTGGCAATGCTGTGGCCACTTGTTGGGGGGCACTGTAGGAAGGACCCCAACAGGGGTCAAGGAGGAGCCCCTCCAAGTGCAGGACCTGGGGGTGTCCGGCCGCACCTCCGTGGTGGGGAGGAAGGACCCTCGCTGGGTGTCCGGGCCTCTGGGCCTGCACACACACGGCATCCACGCGGCGCAGACTGCCGGCTCCCGGCCTTGGCCAGCCCGATGGCATCTGCAAGGACCCTGTCCCGGAGGGCCACCGCGCAGGTGGGGGGTATTGGGGACACCATGCGGCTGCAATAGTCTGGGGGGGCCCTGCTGTCCCTGCGCGGATGGGGTCCCGCAGAGTCCTTGCTGCCCAGCAGCGGAGCAGGACACCCCAAGTGCGCCTGTGGGGCTGCGAAGCTGCCTTTTCTGGAGCCTGTGATTTGGGGTGCCAGCCGCCCTCCTTTTGGGTTTTGAGAGCCTGTTTCTTTGTCCAGTGTCCGGAGCTGCGAGTGGCCGGGTCCTGGCGGTCATCAGCCCCGGCCTCACCAGTGGCACGTCCCCGCCGCCGTGTCCTGGCGGCCGCCGCCCTGCTCTGGAGGGGAAGCAAAGCGTCTTTTTTAATTTCGGGGTTGTCTGTGGGAAGCTGCCGCGCAAGACATTGCAATTGGATAGGTAATTAATTCACATGCACCTACAAGAGGGAGGAACACAAATTATTTGTAACATTTTGTAAGCACTGAAATTAATGTAGTGTGAATTTGTCATTTCTACCAAAGTTACAGATTTTCTATATTATAATTTAATCTTTTTAATGTAAAAAGAATAGGAATTTTGCCCTTTCTGGCCTCTCGGGAAGCAAGAACTAGTGTATCTAATTATCTGAACACAGAGGAACATAAAGGAATAGCAAGTAGTGAAATTATAACTCGGCCGGAACAGCCCCATGTTTTCTGATTAAGCCCCTTCCCGGCGCCGTCAGCAATCATGTCGCCCCCGTGTTCATAGTAATTGCATGTGTCACCGCCGAGGCCGCTGTAAATGGGACCGAACGAGTTGCGATTTTAATTTAGCGGGATAACTGCGGGGCTGGGGGCGGGGAGGACTGGGGTGGGAGCTGGAGGGGTGTTGGAGGGGCTGGGGGGTGAGGGCCTGGGGGGGGGCTGGCCCCAGCGGAGCGCCCAGGCCCCGCAGGTTAGCCCGGCTCGGTGGGGGTTCTGAGGAGCAGCCCCCCCGCCCCCACCGGCCGATGCCCCGTTGTGTCCAGCAGGCTCCTATGTCTCCGGGGGCGGGACCCTCGCGACCCGGAGCGTCTTCGACACAAAGCAAAGTGCCGGTTTCGGTTTCGAGGTTGACGCGCTCCCCGAGGCTGGCGGTGGCCACTTCCCTTCCTTCTGTCAGGGAGCCTGCCCGCTGGCACTGCCCCCCCAGCGGTCTCTGCTTATGAAGGGGCTTCAGGCAGGGCGGAGGCTCTGACGGCTCATCAGGGGGCAGCGGCCAGCCCCTCTCCGCTGAGACTGGACTCCGAGGGGACCGGATTTGCAGCCAAGTCTCTGCAGAGGGCGGGCCCGGATGGAGGTGTGGACACCCGGGGCCAGCTGCCCCGCTGCCCTTCCCGCACCCGTGCTGGGGCCCACTCCGGCCCAGGGCTCCGGCCATAGTGTGATCTCTTCCCAGCAGTGTCCACACTGGTCTCTCTGCGCACACAAAGGGCCCGTGTGGAGGGACTGCCCGCTTTGGGCAGAGGCAGGCCCGGGCGCATCTGCCTGCATAAGCCGCAGTGGCCTGAGCGCCCGCACCTGGGCCCAGGAGGAGCTGGCTGGGCGCTGGCCGCTCTGCAGACCGCAGTGGGTCGGGACAGCCTCCGCCGTGCCCTGGGGGGAGCTGGCTGGTGCCCAGGAGGGGAGGGAGCCGCACTGCGCAGGGCACAGCAGATGCAGGAAGGGCAGCAGTCTGTGCCTGGGTCCTCGCTGTTTTGACCTTTGGGCCAGGGCTCCTGCCGCGTGACCCCCACCTCTGCTGTGCCCAGACCAGGCCACAATCAGCTCCCTCGGCTGCTCAGCTCTGGGGCTCAGCCTGCGCACCTGCCGTCCTCATGCCTGGGAGTAGATCTCCGACTCCGGGGCTCGTTTGGGGAAGGAAAATGAGTAAAAGTGGGTGTGTAAAGGGCCCCCTGGGGTGCAGGGCTTGGGTCTCAGCTATCAAGCTATCGCCGGCCACTGCCGCCCGAGTCCATCACGGCCAGGGAGGGACCCGGGCGGCGATGAGATTCCTCTGTGCTCCATCCCCGCGCCCACCGGCCTCCCCGGACCAGCCTCGCCGCGGGGGCGCAGTGGGAGACGACAAATCAAGCACAAGCTAAGAAAGACTCACGAGGATCGGGAATTTTTTTTAAGAAACAGCCCAGCTTGTGATAGAATTAAATGTAACTTCCAGGAAAAAATACTAAAACCTCATGGGACTCAGCAGTGGCCACGAGGGCGCAGGGAGCCCCGCGGTGGGGACACGCCACGTCCGCCCGACAGGTGGGGAGAGGCTGCAGGGACAGGCTGGTCTGGGTGGCTGGGGACGGCTCGCGGAAGGCCAAGAAGGGATCCACGAGGCGCCGCGGGCTGGGGATGCCCAGAGCGGGCTGGAGTTGCACCCCCCCACTCCTGAAACACCGGGGAGCTGCAGCAGCGCTGCCACGCGGAGACGCAGTGTGACGGGCCAGCTGCCGCAGCCCGGTGGGCTCCCGCTGGACGCTGGCCCGTGGGCTCCCGCTGGACGCTGGCCCGTGGGCTCCCGCTGGACGCTGGGCCCGTGGGCTCCCGCTGGACGCTGGCCTGTGGGCTCCCGCTGGACGCTGGCCCGTGGGCTCCCGCTGGACGCTGGCCCGTGGGCTCCCGCTGGACGCTGGGCCCGTGGGCTCCCGCTGGACGCTGGCCCGTGGGCTCCCGCTGGACGCTGGGCCCGTGGGCTCCCGCTGGATGCTGGGCCCGTGGGCTCCCGCTGGACGCTGGCCCGTGGGCTCCCGCTGGACGCTGGGCCCGTGGGCTCCCGCTGGACGCTGGCCCGTGGGCTCCCGCTGGACGCTGGCCCGTGGGCTCCCGCTGGACGCTGGGCCCGTGGGCTCCCGCTGGACGCTGGGCCCGTGGGCTCCCGCTGGACGCTGGGCCCGTGGGCTCCCGCTGGACGCTGGGCCCGTGGGCTCCCGCTGGACGCTGGCCCGTGGGCTCCCGCTGGACGCTGGCCCGTGGGCTCCCGCTGGACGCTGGGCCCGTGGGCTCCCGCTGGACGCTGGGCCCGTGGGCTCCCGCTGGACGCTGGCCCGTGGGCTCCCGCTGGACGCTGGGCCCGTGGGCTCCCGCTGGACGCTGGCCCGTGGGCTCCCGCTGGACGCTGGCCCTGGAGACGTGCCGTCCGCCCGCCCTCTGCCCTGGACTCGCGTGGGCACTGACTTCCCAGCCGCCCCTTTCTGCTCTCCGCTGTGCTCCCTGTCCAGCTCTCTGCCTGGCGCTTCTTACGGGTCTTTCCGTGAATGCCTGTTATCAGCTCCCCTTATGTTTCCTCAAATGAAGCCACTGTCCCTCTCCCGCGGGGAACACCCACCAGCTTTCCCGTGGCTCCGCCCCCAGCCGCCGCCCTTTTATGCTCACTTCCTGGACTGTAGACTGGACCAATCAGGTGTGAGCTACGAGCTGATTGGTGCTATCTGGTCCAATCAGCCACAGGATTGAGGAATGGTCCAATCAGACTTGTGGGTGGGGCACTCAGAGAGGATATAAGCCGGGCTGGTGGGCCTGGAGGCTGCTTCAGCCTGGGGGGCTCTGCTCCCGCCTGCGAGGGCAGGAAGAGCCGGGGCTGCCCTCAGAGATGAAGCAGCATCCGAAGCCGACCTTTGCGGGTGGGAGAGAAGCCGAAGACCTTTGCAGAGACCGGCCTGGGTCCTGCCTCTCCATGGCCTGAGCGGGGCACCCAAGGCCCGGCCTGGCGTCTCAAGGAGCTGTTTGTTGCGGGTGTCGCCCCACCCCTCACGAAGAGCTGCCGGCGGGGTGTCTCTGACAGCGCCTCGGGTGGCCGGTGGCCGGCGCTCTGCTGTGCTGCTGGTGGACGCTCTGGGTGAGGCGGCCGCCTCCCGGGGACACAGTGAGCTCCTTGTCTCCCCTGTTTGTAAAGTCGCCCCCGGGTTGTTCCTGGAGCCCAGGTTGTGCATGTGGGTGAGACCCACAGCCGGCGGCCTGTCCTCCGTGGGCCTGTCCCTTGGCCGGCCACAGCCCCCAGGTCTAGGCGCTGCTGGAGCCCTCGGCCTGGCTTTGGCCTTTGCCTCTCGTCTGGGCATCTGGCCTGTTTCAGATTCTTTCATGTAAATTCTTGCTGTCTATTGACTTAATTCATTGTGTCTTTTTGGCTATTTATCATAAGCGTTATGTTAATGTTCTTGCTCTCTCCCAAATACGAATTACCTGTGTATCCATTTCTATTGTATTATCTTTCTGCTATTTGTCGTTTTTCTGCTGCTTTACAACTCTAAAAAAATGGACTAAGGCCGGCAGTGTGATGAAAAGAGCGGCAGCTCTCAGCTGCCCCAGGCTGTGCCTGGGTGGGGTGGGCGGGCGCGGCCCTCCCAGAGCCCGCTGGGAATGAAATGGGGTAGGGCCTGGAGGTCCTGGTGACGACACCCCCGGCCTGAGCTCCCCTCTCCTCAGATGTCCAGGTGGCAGTGGCCGTGAGCCGGGCTGGTGCGGGCCCCTCGCCTTGGCAGGAGCCTGTCACTAAGGTACTTCGAGGTGGCAGGAATTTGGCTTCACCCCGCCGGCCCAGCGCTGGAGTTTCCGCTACCCGGCTCCCTAAAGCCCCTGGACGAGCGTGTCGTGCTGACCCAGCCCCACGCGGGCAGCGGTGCGTGCAATGGCGCCTGCGTCTCCTTGAAAGCGGACGTCCCAATGGTTTTTAAATACATCGAGATGCCGCGTGGGGGGGCTTGAAGCCCCTCCTGCAGCGGTCACTAGGCGGATCCTGTGCTCCGGGGCAGCCGGGGGCGAGGGAGCCCCTCTTGTGGGGCTCGGTGCTCAGCGAGGGGAGGGGAGCCCGGGCCTGAGGTGGTGGCGGAGCGTGCTGGGGCAAGGCGGGCCTAGGGAAGGATGGCTGCCCTGGGCTGTCACGGCCAGATCCGGCCTCGGACTCAAGGCCAAGGGATGGACAGCGCCGGCCTCTCTGCCGAGCCCCGAAGACCCTGAGGGGTGACTGGCGCCCGCATCCTGCAGCACCTGCCCTTCACGTGCTGGGGTGGGTCCCAGAACGACGAGCCTGCCCAGCCCCAGGCCAGCCTGGAGAAGCTGGGGTGGAGACCGGCTGGACTCGGGGATCCCCACCCCCGCCGCTTAACTGACAGCCTCGGGACAGGCACAGGGAGCCCAGGAGCTGGGGCCTCTGTGCTGTGAGCTGCAGGGGGACGGTGCGCCGCGGCCATAGCTGACAGACGCCAGCCCCCGCCCCCTGCGCCCCCATCCCCTGCAGCCCCGGCCCCCTGCGCCCCCATCCCCTGCAGCCCTATCCCATGGGCCCTGGCTCTGCGAGCAGCCCACAGCGCGTGTCCAAAGGGCCCTCCTTGCTCTTTGTTCAGAGTGACACATGTCGGCCTGGACACACGGCGGCTCTGCCCGGGTCAGCCGCTCTCCTGGACTGGCTCAGGCTGGCTCTGAGCTTGGCATAATTTACCCTCCGTGTAGCGTGAGGGGAATATGCAAAGGGAGCTTCTCTGTGCGTGAGAAACAGAAGGGGCGTTCTTACCGGCGCGACCCGGGCTCCAGGAACGGACGTGCGGGCCGCAGCCGCCTGGGCCGCCTGGCCTTGTGGGTGAGCGGCCCGGAGGGGCCAGCGCCGGCCTGTTTGGACAGGGCCACGCCCAGCTGCCGCCCCCGCTGCAGGGGAGGCCAGTGGGCCTCAGGCCCTCCGGGCGGGCTGGCTGCAGCAGCATCAGGTGCCCGGCTGGACGTGGTGTCCTCGCTGCAGACGCCCCTGGCCCTGGGGTGATGGCCCCGGCGTGCGGGCTCTCTCAGCCTGCGGGGCAGCCGGGCAGCGGGGGGCGAGAGCCCTGCACCCCCACCTCCTCCTGACCCGGCCAAGGGCTGGCGCAGATGCCAGGGGGGTCTCCCCCCATCCCGTCCCTCCCCAATAAAATTTGCTAAAACTTTTAGTATTCTTACATCCAAGTGAGTGAGACGCTCCCCTCAGCACCTTCTGCACCGCGGGGCTTGCCAGCTGGTCAGGGCCGCCCTTGCAGGACGAGCTGGCACGAGAGTCCCCTCTGCAGCCTCCTGGAGACTCTGAGCAGGCAGTGCCGCCTCTTCCTTCGGGCCGCCTGCGCCGCAGACCCCGGGCCCGCCCCTCCTGCTGCTCCCCGGAAGGCAGCGAGCCCGAGGCGGGGAGGTCGGCCCCGCGGAGACGCCCAGGCGGCCCGGGGTGCGCGTCCCCAGCGCAACCCCCCGCGGGGGTCCGGGGAGGGGTCGCCCCGCGGCTGGAGCCGGAGCGCAAGGCCCGCCCTGCTCTGCCCCCGGGAGGGTTCGGCGTCAACCTGCTTTGGGGGTGCAGCGCCTGAAGCCCTCCTTCACCCCGCGAAGCTCGGCGGGCCGGGGCGAGCCCCGAGGCCCCGGCGCGTCTGTCCGGCGCCCCCCAAGGCGAACCCCAGCGGCGAGAGCGGAGGGGCCGGCACGGCGGGGCCATCGGGTCACGGGAAGGGCCGCCGGCCGCCTCGCTCCGGCCCACGGCGCCCGCGGCCCGGGTCCCGGGGCTCTTCCCGGGCGGCGGACACCCCGGGCCGTGGACACCCCGGGCCGGGACACCCCTGGCCACGCACACCCCTGGCCGGGACACCCGGGGCGGCAGAACCCCCGGGCCGCGGACACCCCCGGGCGGCGGACACCCCGGGCCGCAGACACCCCCGGGCCGCGGACACCCCGGGCCGCGGACACCCCGGGCCGCGGACACCCCGGGCGGCAGACACCCCGGGCGGCAGACACCCGCGGCCGCGTGCTGGGGAGGGCATGGGGGGGGCGCCCCGCGCCTGCGGGCCGGAGCCGGAGCCGGGGAGGCCCCGACGCCCCTGAGCCGGCGCCGCCTTATCGTGGGCCGCGGCGCATCCATCACGCGCGGGCGGGGCCGGCGCCTCCCGGGCAGGGCGCCGCGTCCGTAATAATTTTAAGGACGTTTCCCAAATGTTTATTTAGATGGAAGATGGATCCCCGCGGGGCTCGCGACCCGCCGCCCGATAGCCGCGTTATTAATGGCCTGCCACGCGCGGGCGGATAATTAAGGTCCCCCCCAGAGGAAGAGAGTGGACAAATTTATTTGATGGTTTGATAACCGGGGACACTGGTTGAAAACTATTGATATAATCGGAGCTCATTCGATTTGCTCGGGCCAGCCACTCCTATCAGCTAATTTCACCTGTGAATAGTTAATTATCCTCCGAATGCAGATGGGGGAGCCATTAATAAAATTTGACTATGTCATAGTTTCTTTGTCACCCACATGTGCCTTTTATCTCCCGAATCTCCCTCCTAGTCTCTCTTTTTTATTCTTTCCCATTTTCTCGCTTTAAAAAAAAAAAAAAAGCCCAGAAGACGGATGTGGGCTGCGGGGCGGGCTGGACGGGCAGTGCTCGGTGGGGCAGGCCTGGCTGGCAGGGCCCCCGGGGCAGGCGAGGCGCCTCAGAGCCCAGCCAGCTCAGCTGACCGCGCCGCGTGCACCTGGCCAGGAGCAGGCCAGGCTCCGGGGCCACGGGGGTGCCGGGGCTGGGCGGGGTGCTGAGCAGGGGAGCCTTCTGTGAGGACCCGGTGGCTTCTCGCTGCCCAGCTCAAGGGCAGCTGCTTCCTGCAAGCCCAAGGCCCCCCCAGCGCCGGCACGCACCAGCGCACCCCGACATCTAGGTGCTCTTTATTGAGAAGGAGCTCCCGCTTGTAGCCTCGAGCAAGTTCCCTGAATTTCCATTTCTCAGATGCAAGATGCAGGGGCAGCTTCTCCGGCTTCAGAGCGGCAGGTGGAGACGAGCAGTGAGGGCCTGGTGAGGGGCGGGCGGGCGCCCTCTCTTGCAGCCCGGCCCGCTGCAGGTGCGCCTGGCAGGACCCCAGGTGTCCAGGGCCGACAGCCCCCAGGTGGGCTCCGCCTCACCGCGGTGGATTCTTGTTTTCTGGGCAAACGCCCGTGGCCCGGGAAGGAGCCTGGCAGACGCCCCTCCATGGCGACAGCGCCCACGAAGCTTCTCCAGCCTTAGTTCTCATCTTAGCCAGCGTAAGGTTGCGGGCGCACTACCCGCAGGGGAATGAAAGCAGAAATCAAGAGCTGGAGGACAACGGGAAAACTGGCAAGTCTGTGACCTGAAGCGCACACGCCCGGACAGCCAAGGGATCAAAACAAACCATCCGAAAGGACGTCAGAACAAAGCAGCCGGGGACGCACAGGCACCGAGCCCATGGCCGGCGTGAGCCGCGCCGCCGTTTACCGGAGAAAGACCTGCGTTCGGGGAGAAGCACCTTAGGGCGGCCTCAGTTTACCCCCAAGGAGCTCCAAAAAAGACGAGCCGAAAGAGCAGTGGAGAGCGGGTGCTTTGGAAAGAAACAACCTGACAGAGCCTCCGCTCCTTCAGCCAGGAAGAAGAGACGGCGGGAAGCTGATGCCACGGGCGGAAGAGGGGCTGCCGCAGCCACAGGCACGGACACCCCAGCCCGTGGACGCGCTGGCCACTGTCTCCCAGAGGGAGTGGACAAACCCCAGACACCCAGAGGCCTCCAGCTGACCCCCCTCAGCCCTCCCGCCCGCAAGGGGCTCCCGCCCTGGGGCCTCCACAGCCCAGGACCCCACCCGGCGGGAGACAGGGTGCCCACAAGGAGGGCAGCTCTGGGGCCCGCCTGGGATCAAGGCCCGGCCCCTCCTTGGGCTGGACGGACGTGAGCGCTGCTCCCAGCTCCCAGGGCCGCCCGCTGGCCAGACTCCCGCTTCATGACGAAGGATGTCAGTGAGACAAAGGGACGGTGGATGAAGAGACCTGAGGGTGACCGCGGGCCTGGACGGGGGATCCCCAGCCGCGGGCCTGGACGGGCACCCTCAGCCAAGGACCTGGACAGGGGAGCCCCCAGCCCGGCCAGGTTCTGTGGAGGCTTCGCTATCCGGTGTGAGCGGGGGACTCTCTTGCCACCAGTGAGGGGACGCGGCCCCCAGCCAGGCGGTCGCCAGCAGGAAGGGACGGAGGTGTCCCTGGAGGCCGGGGCTGGACGGAAAGTGCCAGCACTCCCGCCACATGGCTGAGCCCGCAATCCCCGTCCTCAGGCCCCCAGACCCAAATAATCCGACTTTAGCGTGGGCGAAGGGCCCGGTCAGACGCGTAGACACAGGGGCCGCGCGGGGACACTGTGCGGTGCGGGGGGCTGACTCGCCCTCTCCCTCTGGCTCTCGCACAGTGGTAAGTGGGGGTGGCGGGGCAGGTGTTCTTGATGGGGTGACGACTCACAGTGCGTACGCCTCAAACACGTAGCTTTTTATCTGCCGACCCACACCCTAAAGCAATAGCCAAGCCCTCGCAGCTCCCTGGATGGTGGCTGGGGCTCTGCCGGGTCGAGCCCGACCGTGAGCTTGGGCTTGAGTCTGGCTGCCCTTCTCAGGCGGTCCTGCCGGGCAGAGGCCTGCACCCACCACAAGTTGGCTAAGCCTGGAGCAGACACGGCCTGTGCCCGCCAAGTGACCCTCCTGCCACTGACGCTCCCCGAGGCCGGCAGTGTGGGGTGTGGCTGCTGGGGCGTATCTCCCCAGCAGCAAGCCGGTAACAAAGGAGGCAAAGTGGTGTAGCCTGGGGAGTGTCCCGAGAGGAGCAGGCCTAGCCCTGGGGGCTCCTGAGGACTGGCTTGTGGCTTTTTGGGCCACCCCTGCCCCCCAGGGAAGCCTCTGGAAGCGGCAGGCTGAGGCCAGGCTCTGCCCTGGGAGAGACCTTGGGAGAGCATGGAGAGCGGCCTGCCTCTCCCGCTGCCCTGGCTGTGAGGACCCTCATGCCCCCCACCCCTGCCCCGGCCAGGGAGCACCCTGCGGCTCCCGGGCAGCGCTGGGCCAAGGATTCAGCTGGCTCTCCTGCAGGCGGTGGCCAGGCACCTCTGGGCACCCCTGAACCCTGTGTCTGGAAAGCAGAGTCACCCCTGAGCCGCCAGGCCCCAGCTCGGGCGCATCTGCACGGGGAGAGAGACTGTGGGCGCAGGCTGCTCCGAGATTAGCATCTGCAGCGCCTCACAAGAAGGATCGCTCCACAATGCCCCCGGGGCGCGAGCCCCCCCAGCCCATTAGCGGTATCCATCAGTCGGCTGTCTGCCTGGGGCCGGGAGCATCCATCCTGGCCAGGGCGCAGCCGCTGGTAGTACCATCCGTCCGCGTCTCGACAGCGCTCAGGCCGGCGCTGACAGCCGCTCGGGATAAGCCCTTATCGCCCAGCTCTGCGCTATCTCCCGGCGCCCCGACCCCGCTCCGGGCTCCCCTGGGGTCCAGGGCGCCTTCCCACAGGTCAGGCTGGGCCTCGGTTGCTGGCGGGAGCCCCATGGGGAGGTCGTGGGCCCCTGGGCCGTGGAGCCATGTCGGGTGGGAAGCGCGTGTTTTCTCCGTGTTAAATGTCAGGGCGGCCTGCAGAGCCCCCGCACAGCCGGCCTGCGGCCAGCGGGGCCAGCGGTCCCACCACCGGGTCGGCGGCGTCAGCCTGAGGGCTCTGAGGCCCGGTCCGCAGCCCTTTCCATGGGCTGCGTGAGTCTCCCCGCCCCACCTGCAGGACCCGGCCAGTGTGGACGGCCGTACAGGAGCCAGGCCCGAGCCGGCCGGGTGTGTGACCAGCACCTGGAGTCTCGCTAAAGCCTGTCCTGCTCGCTGGTCACCGGTGTTTCTGGATGTTTCCATGTGTGAGCCCCACTGCTCTGGGCCTGGCGACGCCCGAGGGCTGGGCAGTCAGTGAGTCCCCTTTGCCAGCAGGGCCTGCAGAGACCAGCAGTCTGCTGGCGTGGGGGTCAGCCAGGGCACCTGAGGCCCAGGGGCGCAGCGGCCACGACCTCCTGGTCACCCGGCAGCCACTGAGCCACGCCCTCCTGGGACGAGGCAGCACCGGCTGCTGGGCGGGGACCGCCCCTCCTCCCTGGCCCTGCACATGGGGGGCACAGGCTGGGCAGCAGAGCCGGGCTGGGGAGGGACGGAGCTTGGAGGCAGTGGGCTGGGCCGGCCCCCACCTCTGCGTGCAGCTCGGGGTGTCAGCCTGCGGGAGCCCCATCCTCCAGCCGCGGGACGCGCTGCTCCTACCCCCGCTGGGTGGGACACCCCTCTGCCCCAGGGAGCCGTGGCCGCTCTGCCTGCCGCAGGGCGTGGGCTGAGGGGGGCGTTGGAAAGGGCCGTCCCCTCTAAGCATGATGTCCCCTGCGGGCTGCCTCCTGCCCGGAGGATTCCCACTGACCCCGGGGCCGGCGGGCGTGGTCTGGGCCTGAGGCCTGCTCTGATGGGGGGTGGGAGCCGCCCCGGAGCAGGGAGCCGAGGAGAGGCCCCAGCTGGAGGCCACGGCTGGGGTGGAAGGTCGCAGGAGCGGGCCGAGGCCGGTGCCCATAGGGGGCAGTCTTGGTTTGCTGCATGGCGCCGTGACCCAGGATTGCGTTTGTTCTCACTTAGCAGAAAAATATGCTATAAATTTGCCATTACAACAAAATCAACATGTCTTTTTTATTAAGAATGTCACAGAGCCAATTATTTGTGTTTATGTCATCGCCGCGTTGCTGTGCCCCGCAGAACAGGCGGCTCCCGCCTCGCCGCGGAAGGGCTTGCGTGGGGCTGAAATGAAAGCGAGCAGCTAACAAATGGCACATTCCGAGATGGTGAGAAGCCTGGGTGCAGCCGGTGCGCGAGATGGGGCCCTGCACCCCCCACCGCGGCGTGGGGGGGCGAGCGGGTGGGCCTGGTGTGTGGAGGGGCAGGTCCAGGAAGGGGCGCGTCTGGTCTTGGGGAGACTGGCCAGGAACCAGGCCCGCCCCCCTCCTGGAGGCCACTAGGACTGGGCATCATGACCCCGGTGTGGCCACTGAGATACCGTGGTCACCGTGGCCACCACGGTGCCCGTGCAAGCAGCCCTGTGGTCGGGGCCACCACCTCAGACCCTCCTTGGGCCGTGTCCTGGAGGGAGTGGATGGGTGCACACGCTGGGGGCGTGCCCTCTGCCTCTGCTCCCCCCGTGCTGACGCCCTCCCTCCTGCCTGCCCCCACAGCGCCACCTCAGCGTCCGTTCAGGCACCCCAGACACCCGCACCCACGACCTGCTTGTGGGGTGGCCCGCAGCGCCCCCCGCCGCAGCCCTGCCGCCACCCCCGCCCTGGGCCAGGAGCGGCAGGACCGCCCAGCCTACCCCCGCACACCCGGCCTCCCCCCGCACACCCGGCCTCCCCCTGCACACCCGGCCTCCCCCTGCACACCTGGCCTCCTCCCCGCACTCTCGGCCTCCCCCCGCACACCCGGCTCCTCCCTCACACCCGGCCTCCCCCCCGCACACCCGGCCTCCCCCCCGCACACCCGGCCTCCTCCCTCACACCCGGCCTCCTCCCTCACACCCGGCCTCCCCCCCGCACACCCGGCCTCCCCCTGCACACCCGGCCTCCCCCTGCACACCTGGCCTCCTCCCCGCACTCTCGGCCTCCCCCCGCACACCCGGCCTCCTCCCTCACACCCGGCCTCCTCCCTCACACCCGGCCTCCCCCCGCACACCCGGCCTCCCCCCGCACACCCGGCCTCCTCCCTCACACCCGGCCTCCCCCCGCACACCCGGCCTCCTCCCTCACACCCGGCCTCCTCCCTCACACCCGGCCTCCCCCCCGCACACCCGGCCTCCCCCTGCACACCCGGCCTCCCCCCCGCACACCCGGCCTCCCCCCGCACACCCGGCCTCCTCCCTCACACCCGGCCTCCTCCCTCACACCCGGCCTCCCCCCCGCACACCCGGCCTCCCCCTGCACACCCGGCCTCCCCCTGCACACCTGGCCTCCTCCCCGCACTCTCGGCCTCCCCCCGCACACCCGGCCTCCTCCCTCACACCCGGCCTCCTCCCTCACACCCGGCCTCCCCCCGCACACCCGGCCTCCCCCCGCACACCCGGCCTCCTCCCTCACACCCGGCCTCCCCCCGCACACCCGGCCTCCTCCCTCACACCCGGCCTCCTCCCTCACACCCGGCCTCCTCCCTCACAC